TGTGTCTGTGTGTGTGTGTGTGTGTGTGTGTGTGTGTGTGTGTGTGAATCAAATTCTTCTCCCAATCCACTGTGCCTATTTCCGTTGGTTCTCAATGAAACATTACAACCACAATATCATCTTTGAGTGTTGGCAAAATATCCAAAGCAGTAGTACAAAACCGACTAAACTCTATCGCTTCAATACTCAACTTCCATTTTTACACCATCTATTGTTTTCTATCAAAATCCTTGCATCTTTGGGTGTTTTCATTCTTCCGTATTACACACACCGTTTTACTTACTGTTCGTGCTTCTCCCTTTCGCCACGTTCGCTTGCAAAAATCGCAATCATTGCAGACCCCGTTTGGAGGCATTCATGGTCATGCGGTCAAGCGTCTGTTTTCCGACGGTCGCTTGCATCCGACCGCTTTGTTGCTCTGTCCACACTCGGCCATCCAGAACTTGCCTCAACCCCGTCAACCTCGCCCGATTCAAGTTGGACCGTCTGCAATAATGGTCGGTCAGGTAGTCCAAGGTGTCCGAATGGCCGAGGCTCGAGGACGTCCACTTGGACCAAGTACAACGGCACCATCGATTGGATCAATCGGAGGTACACCGGATTCGGGAGTAAGCAATTTCTTCAAACGCTTTTTCTTTCCCAATGTTCTATCGTCATATTGAACTTATCTTCAACAAATCACCTTTATTTTGTCCGTCCTTCCATCTCAATTAGGCCTGTGGAAAGGCATGCACTCACAGACTACGCGTTCCCTGGTTGATCATACAGTCTCATTTCCAACCTCTTGATTGCTATATACGGGTTATTCTGCCACAGAAACTAACCCAGGCACACGAAAGCGTATGGTTACCAGTGGTGAACACTGAACTGAACTCTCCCGCCACACTTAGATAGATAGTAGATATCAGCACTCAATTATCGACAATATTTTGAAACTGGCCAATTGTGAAGGTCCCACCTGTCAGTTCGCAATGGTTTACTCTTAAACCCAGTCAATGAAAAACCATCTACCTTACGGTGTTTATAAAGCAGAATATCCACTCAAAACCGCAATGGTTGAATTCGTTGCGCGCCTGCTGTTTGTCTGTTCATAAAGTTTCTTGACTGGATCCCGGTCAGTAGCCGACTGTGTGCGCTGTACGTTTCTTCGGTTCAATACAGGTCAGCTGCTGCAGAACGGAGCGTCGGTGTCTATTCGCTGTGTCCGTGTATGCTCCGACTGATTGCAAGGGTCTTTCTTAACTGCTCTAAAATGTCCAACGAACAGATGTCGTAGTAGTCGCTGGAGGCTCGAGTGGGACCCTAGACAAATCAGAAAGGTGTTTAGGCGACCCGCGCGCAATTCCAACCAACAGGAAGAACAACGGAGATCGCCTACAGCCACTTGGCACAGACCACCAATTGTTTCTGTCAAGCGTCAACATCTCCCACGAGAAGCGACATTGCCTTACATACAAATCTACTATGTTTTCACCGTGGTAGACACAATTCGAAGACATCGGCATCAGCTACCGCTGGCGAGGGTCCATTGCAAACTACCGCTCTCACTGGTCAGCATCCACGGACACGGATCATACTTTGATACGAGTCAGATTCTCCCCACGCCTGGTAGACAACCGCTAAAATGCCACCGTAAACGAATGCCCACAATACTGTGTCGGCGATAGTTGCAAATCGACCTTCGAAGCCAAACTCTCTGATTACCTCGCAGTTGACGCACCAGTCGAAGGATACAATGAACATTGGATAAAAATCAAAGAAGCTATCCAAATGTCGATCTCGACAGCGTCGGATTCTAACTCACGATCACAGCACGAACGATGGATCTCATCGACCTCAGATATCTTGCTGAATACCTGCAAAACCATTCCTCTTGATGCCATGTACGACAAAGCGTGCAAATCCCTTGAAAGTCAACTCTTCAAGAGCAGGAGGAATGATCACGAGAAGTGGTGGGTAGCAAAATCAAGAAAGATGAAAAAGGCCGTGACTGTTGATCACATTCCGTTCCATCTACGGGCCCAAGGAAAGCAGGCGTTTAGTTGAGTCCGACGGCACACTGATTCATATTTAGTAACGCCGTGTTCAACGTTGGGCACAACATCTTAAGGCACAGTTCAGTCAGCCTTCGTCGACACAAGACCTCCCTGTGCTTGCTTCAACTGGCCAAATACTGCCCGTTGACATCAGTCCTCCATCCGAAATGGAGGTTACTCAAGAAGTAAATTATCTTAAAAGGTATAAGGCTTCCGGCCCAGACCGTCTGTCACCATTGGTTTTTCAGGATGGATATTCAGCTTTGGTTTTGGAGTTAACAAAACTCCTGGGCTGAAAGTGGGAGAGGGAACAGGTTCCAGCTGAATGGTGTGAGTCGGTGATCATACCGATTTACAAGAAAGGTGATAGATCCTCTTGTGAAAACCATAGGGGAATTAGTTTAATCAACATCGTCTCTAAACTTCTCGCTGGCATCATACTCCGCCGATTGTCTGCCGCACGTGAACGGTGCACGCGTGAGAACCAGGCTGGCATTAGACCCGGTCCAGGTTGTATCGACCACATCTTCACTCTGCGCCAAACTCTTGAGCATTGATATTCTTTAGGTAGACCCACCATCTATATCTTCTGGAATCCTTAAGCGGCTTTCGACTCAGTCGACTGCTCTAAACTCTAGCGCTACCTCGCTCTAAAGGGTATTCCCAAGACGTTTATTTCAACAATACAATCGCTTTATACTAATAGCCGAAGTCGAGTCCGAGCTTGCGGCACTTTTTCACCCGAGTTCACCACGGAAGGTGGTGTTCGACAGGGTTGTCCTCTCTCTCCGTTTCTATTTCACCTCGTGATAAATTCAATTCTTGAAATAGCTCTATTCTTGTGCGAGGATGTCGGTATCGGTTTAATTCCAGGTGGCAGACTGTCTGTTCTAGATTATGCAGATCACATTATTCTACTAAGCGTAGATCCAAGTAAGTTGTAAGCTTTTCTGGATAGTTTGAGTGTTAGTGTATCCATGTTCGGTGTGCGTTTTGCACCTCCAAAGTGTAAAATGTTTCTATAAGATTGGGTTCGTCCTGCACCCAGTCTCACCCTAACTGGGGAAATAGTAGAAGAAGTAGAGATGGGTATGACTCTATAGCGTTCAAGTTCACCACAGGAATTAGTGTTCGTCAGCGTTACCCGCTTTCTCTCTCCTTTTCTATTTAATTTCTTTATGATTACGATACCAGCCCTGTCTTTGTGCGAGGATAGTGACATCGATTTGCTCCCAGATGGTGGTCTGTCTGATCTGGAATATGCAGACATTATCAGTTCAGGTTAAACATCCATTCAGCATTTCCGTGCAACGCTTTTGGTTTCTGTCTTTCGGCTGCCCATTTGGGTGAACAATAAGAGGAAAACAGAAAGGTTGAAAGTACGATCAAAGGGAAAATTGAGAAATTCAGTGGACTAATGATGCAAAGTAATTGAGAAAATGCACGAACGCCGCTGTTTACGGCACCCAGCCATATCATTCAGTGTCTCCAACCATCGGTTATGACCATCCCGAGGTCCTCAACCAGGGAGCCTACCGGGACGTAGGTGACCCAAACTCCTGGTTAGGGTTTTCATACTCTCATGCCAGGTCTTAGATTGACCACTCTTGACTTTCTAATACCCACTACTTGTCTCGGTATACATCGCTCGTCGTGGCAACCTATTTGATGATATGCGTAACATATGACCCAACCGACGTAATCTGTGGAAGTTGACCACTTGCTCCAGTGGACAACGGCAGTTGCCTATAACTTTGCGCCTGACCTCAGCAGTCCTCGTTCGGCTGTCCCACCAGATTCGTGCAATGCTGCGTAGACAGCGGTGTCCAAACACTTACAGTCCATCTTTGTCCTGTTTTCCTAATGACCATGTTTCTGCTCCGAGTAGCAGAACTGCCGCAACATACACTCGACCCTTCACAGACAGTCGTATGTCGCGACGGCTCCACAGATGTCTTTATACTGCTTAGTGAAGAACCAGATAAGTTGCAAGCCTTTCTGTGTAGTTTGAATGCTAATGAATATATGTTCGGCATGCGTTATGCACCTTCAAAGTTCAAAACTGTGTTGATCCAGCAGTCTGCCTCACTCTCAGTTTCATTTTGTACAACCAGTAGCCCTGCTCTTTCATATGCCAGTTTTGGTTGCTGTTTTTTATGGTTGTTCATTTGGACGAAGCATTTAGAGAAATATAGGAAAGTTTAGATTAGAGTCGAAGAAAAAATGAAAATTTTCAATGGGCCAAGGATTAAGAAATTGAGGAGATGCATGAACGTCACTGTTTACGACATAGCTCAGTGTCTCTGACCACAGGTTACCACGATCTCGAGGTTCCCACCTAGGCAGCCTAACACGACCTCACTCACTCTAACTGGAGAAGTAAGAGGTAGTGAACAAATTTTACTATCTGGGCAGTCATACATATCACCCAGCGGACGCATACGGATGGCTCGATTGGCATTTGCTAACTTGGGGCATCTGTGGCGTCGCCGCGATATCCGGGTGCTTGTCGCAGAAGTCAGACCAATCCTGCTCTTGGTCATTATGGGAATAGGATAAAGATAGATTGTCGGTGTTTGAGTACCGCTATCTACACCGCATTGCACAAGTGTAGTGGGGAGACCAGACAAGGAATGTTGAAGTTAGACGAAGAGTTCTAAGTGATCCCGGTTTGCAACTGGGACGATTGGTCGACCTCTACAAATTACGTGGGTTAGGGTGTCATCACCGTTCGCGATGTTTACTGAGGCATTTGATGGACATTAAAATGCAAACTGTGGTCAATCTAGGACCAGTCTTGAAAGCGTGAACTTGTCAACCGAGAACTCGACCATACAGGTCGCATTAGGCTCTCTGAATGGTGAATTAAGTACCACAGTAAGCAGTGGTTAGAGAACCTGAGTGATATGGCTGAGTGTCGCAAACAGAGACGCTCGTGCATCCATTCATAGCCCTTGCAATCTTAGATTTCATGGCTTCTCTCAATTTTGTACTATAAAATTGATTTGACCATTCCAATCTTTCCTTCAATTGTTCATCCATCTGAGACAGCATTCATAATCGCCACACCCAAGTGCATGGCTATCATTTGTAAAAACTGACCTCGTTTGTGTGGTTTCAATGGCACTTCACTGATTCTATATTTGTGGCTCGTCATTCTTTTTCTTTATTAAGTTTAAATGATAGTTCGTCTTATTATTTGCTTTCCACGGTTAGGGAGTAGAACTAACAGCTCACCAGTCCGATGATTCAAAAACGGGCGAGATTCAAACATTTGAAGAGGCTTTCTACTGACATTATGGTTGTTGTTTTTTGCAGCTCTGACCAGAGGAAGGCGAGCCTATTTCTCGCAACCACTCAGTCAATGACCCAGATTTGATGATGTATTCTGTGGACATCCCACTGATCATGGACTGGTATTTGTATTTTGTCAGAAACTTGACCATTAAGATAACAGGATAAAGATGGACTGTCAGTGCTTGAACATCCCTGTCTACGCAGCCTTGAGCGAATCTGCTGGGGTAACCGGATGATCAATGCTGAGGTTAGACGCAGAGTTTTGGGTATCCGCGGTCACCCACTGGAGCAAGTGGTTGACCTCCATATATTACGTTGGTTGGGACATGTGTTACGCATGTCACCAGATAGGAAAGAAGCCAAGGGTGGTCAAGCTGAGACCTGGTACGAGGGTATGAAAACCCTAACCATGAGACTGGGTCACATTGGTCCTGTTGGGCTCCCTTGCTGGGGACCTCGGGATGGTCGTACGTGATGGTTACAGACACTGAATGATATGGCTGGGTGTCGCAACCAGTGGCGTTCGTGCATCCTCTCAGTCTCTTTGCAACCTTAGATCACTGAACTTCTCGATTTTCTTTTCGACTCCACTATCAAGTTTCCTTTCTTCTCCTATTCTTCATCCCAGTTGGCAGCCAAAAGACAGCAACCAAAACCGGCGCACGAATATGCGTGATTACTGTTTGTTCAAACAAACAAACAAACATTTGTATTTTGTATTTGTGGATCATGTATAAGCATATATGCTTAGACTTCAGTTAGAAATGTACCCTGTTTGTCACGCAGAATGAAATAATAATAATAAAATATAACACAAAAGGTTAAGAATATCGCTAAAAGTTT